AATCTGTGGCAATGGTGCGAGAGAGACTCGACGGATGTCTGGCCTCTCAACTGTGGTTACAAAATTTCCTGACGAAAATACCGTAATTAATCACACGTTTCACTCAGACCATTCACTTCTCAATATAAAAGCCAAGACATTTTCAGGACCAACTCAATTCCATTTCCAGCCCATATGGACAGAGCACGATGAGTGTGAACAAATCATTAAAGGGAAATGGGAGAAATCTATTAAAGGAAATATAAGCAAAGAGTAATCACAAACTTAAAAAATTGTAAATTTAAGAAGCTTTCAAGCTATGGAATTAGGAATCGTTTGGGTACATACAAGATAAATTGAGGGAGATATATAAAGCAAGCTACAACAATTGGAGAAAAAAAGTGAGGTTTTGGACATACAGTCACAACAGTCCTCACTTCGCAAGGAATACAATACCTGATTAGTACTTTGTACTTCGGCTCGAGTGATAATTTGGTCCCTGAACTTTAAAATGCGATAATTCAATATCCAAACTTTTAAAATGTGACAGTCCAGTACCCGAACTTTCAAAATGTGACAATCCATTACCTGCCCTTAACCAGTCCATTAATCAGCTGTTAAGTGACATTTGAAGAGTCAAAAATGCCCTAAGAATGTCATCTAATTCTCTTTATCAACCATCCAAACATTGACAATAAAATGAACAGTCCCGAATTCTAGATTCTTGTAAACAGTCACCAACTTTTTTGAATAGAAGAGGCTAGGATTTGGGACTGTTCAGTTTTTTGCCAATGTATGGATGGTTGATAAAGAGAATCAGATGGCATTGAAAGGGCATTTTTGACTTTTTAAATATCACTTAATGGCTGATTAAAGGACTGGTTAATGGCAAGTATTGGATTATCACATTTTGAAAGTTTGAGTACTGGATTGTTGCATTGTAAAATTTGAGGACCAAATTGTCATTTGAGCCAAAATACAGGATACTGATCAAGAATTTTCCCTTTGGCTAAAAAAAGAGATAGGAACACCAAATATTTTCACCAGATTGCAAATTTCTTAGGGGAAGAAATTAAGCATAAAACGAACTCTCAATAGCATTTAGACAATTAGTTCAACAAATAAGTGGATTTACACCATCTAGAGAAGAGGTTTGGCAAGTGGTGAAAAATATAAAACCCCACTTCACTGGGTCCAGATGGATTGACACCCTTCTTTTATCAAAAGTATTGGCACATTGATGCTGATGACATTTATGAGATGGTAATCCAATTCTTCCAATCGGTTGAATCGAAGGTTCCTTTTAAATGTCATGAAGAAAATGGGACTTCCAGAAAAGTGGCTGTCTAATTGAAACCCGCATTGGTAACCCTTCAGTTAGCAAGGTCTTCACCCTCAATAAATCACCTATTATTTGCATTGTTTATTATTCTACAAAGCGGAACCTCAGATGTTGAAGGAACTACAAGAGCTTTTTCTTGAGTTCCAATCCATGACAGGTGAACAAATTTACAACTTCTCTTCAGTGCTAACATGCACAGGAGGAAGAGAGAAAGTTCATCACTCACTTATTGGGGATGAAAGAACTGAGTTCAAATGAAAAATATTTGGGGCCTAAATTATGGGTTTACAGAAGAAAAATGCAAGCCTACAAAGGAGTTGGTGGATAAATTAAAAAAGTGAAATTTCAATGTGGAAATCTAGTCTCCTATCACAGGCAGGAAGGACAAGAATGGTTAAGGACCAGCTTTGAGATAGAATGCCTACAAAGGAATCTTTGGTGGAAAGTGGACCACAAGGCAAGGAAGGGAATGCACACTATTGGGTGGAGCAAGATATGTAAAACAAAAAAAAAAAAATGGGGGACTTGGAATTAGGAGGTTATGGGAAATGAATCTAGTTAGCTCTCTTTGGGAAGCAAGTTAGAGACTACTAAAGGAGCCAAATTCTTTGTGGGCTACTATGATAAGAACAAAATACCTCAAATCAGGGTTTATTTTCAAGCAAAAACCAAGACCTTATCACTCTACTTGCTGGAAACAAGTGCTGAAGGTAGCTCAACTCTTAAAAACTCATCTCTCATGGCAGGTTAAAAGATGGTAGCTGCATCAATGTTCTTTATGATCCATGTATTCCCACATTGTTTTCTGATTTTCCAATTGTCAAGCAAGAGCATTTTGAAAGTAAAAGACTTGTTATTGTCAAATGGGTCATGGAATGTAAAATTGATCAAGTAATGTTTGAATAACAGATGCTAGATCATATTCTTCAAATACATGTTTTCTCACAGTTTCAGTATGATCTCTTTCTATGAAAGCACTCCAATTCCCACCTATACATAGTAAAATCTGCATATCAAAGCTTCCTAAAACAACAGCCTTCATCTTCTTCTTCTACCATGAGTATTTGGAAAATCAAGATTCCCTTCAGGTATCAATTGTTTATGTGGAAGCTGTTTTGGGGAGTGCCAACGAAGGACCGATTAAAATTTATGAAAAAGGAAGACAAAATATACAACCTATGTGGGAGGGATGCAGCTGGAAACTGCTCACCATTTATTTTTTACATGTAATTATGCTTCAGCTGTTTGGTTTGCACTGAACATTAATTTCAATCAGCATCAATTGGATCCAAAAAGAGATTTAAGCTGATCTCTTGCAATGGATTGCTATTGCCATGCATTCAATATGGGATGTTAGAAATAAAAGAATCGACAATAACATCATTCAGGACCCAAGCTGGGTTTTTTGTGAGATTTCAAATCATTTAATCACAACAGATGATGTTCCAGAGTGTTCACATAAAACAACTTCCATAATTCAGGACACTACCACATATACATATACACTCTATGTCAACGGCTTTTCTTCTTCTAAATCCACATGGTGCGGTGATAGCAGCAGAGGCATCTAGAATAACAGCTCAAACTCCCTCTGAGGCAGAACGGAGTGCTGTTTTGCTGGGTATAAAAGAAGCAAACAAGAGGAACATCTCTCACTTAAATGTTCTCTGTGATTCACTCATTCCTTGCTCTTGGAAGGAGAAATTATATAGGCTGCGTTTGGAAACGAAGCAAATAAGTGTGAATGTAAATATGTAGAGTGTAGAACGGTCCATATAAATTGTAAAGCTGGGTTAGTTTTGCATGGACAAATTTACCTTTTTATCAAATGGACTTTTAGCTGTAATGGATGCAAACACGAATTCCAATAAAACATATGCCTTTTTTTATCAAAAAATGCAAATTTACTTCTTTTTTATTGATATACTTTTACATCTTATTATCAAGGTAAATATGCATTGAAAAATATATTTTCTCTCATTTGTCAATGCATACATGCAATATTGCCAAACACAGGAAAAAATGAACCAAAGTGCAAATTTACCTTGAACCGGGATTTACACTCTATTTGCATCGTTTCCAATTGCACCCATAGGGACCAAGTGTTCAATATTTGTAAGTTGTCATATCTTAAATGTAGGTAGACGTGTAAATGATATAGTCCAGTGTACCAGGAGGATATATGAGTTTACTGTTTCAATTCCCGCATGATGGTATGGATGTACAGGTTTTCAGAAGGTTAATTTATAGATCTTTACTCGGCAAAAAAAAAAAAAAAAAACTTGCTTGCAGTACTTAACAGGGATACAGAATATTAAGCAATGAAGTGTGCAACAATATAGTTTTCAGTTTTCATGTGGTGTTTGCCATGCTTTTAGAGAATCTCTGATAATTTTTGTGATTCCATGAATCACTTGATTTTATGAAAATTATCCAAACTGTTGGACTCAGAAATTCATCTTACAAGATTCAAAGCATTGATGTTCTAAATACGCACATTTTGCGTGCTTACAATCGAAATATTTTTTTATTTGATAATCTGACAGGTGATAGGTAACATCAACTAACAACGATCAAACAATTAAAATCACCTACTTCTAACTTATTTAGAGTTTCGGTTACCCTGTAAACCGAGTTTTAGGTCGACACTCTTTTGTATAATGATTCTTTGGAGCAAAATTTTAAGCAAAGATAGCCTTAAGTATCAGGTAAACTGAATCAATATGCTTTCATGGTGGCTCGATACTCCCTCTTTCTTTTTTGAAGAAAGAAAGCTTTCATGGTGTTCATGGTTGTCAACTATCATTTTTGCATCAGCCTTACTAATCATGCGAAACATAGTCCTAATAAGAAAGAGCCTTCAACTTAATTGTATATTTCACTGCTGTGCAGTCTCAATTTAATGACTTGGTAGACCTGAAACTTACAAGGAATTCGGTTATCTCTTCTAATCAGGCAGCTGCTCCTCAAGCATTCAATTGGTCACCACCACCAGACCTTAAGATCTGGCCTAGCCCCCCTCCCAAAGTCGGTGGTGCCGGAGCGAACCAGCTAACAAAGGCTGTGATGACTTCTTAAAGACCCCCAACCCAAGTCTCCACTACAACCAGCTGGTTAGCACTCTGCGTAGCAAATTGAACTGCACAATTTTGTATTATTGAAGTATTTGTAAGATTAATGGCATCCATATGTATCTCAAACTTTCCACCCAAGGTTCAAAATCCCAAATTTTCCACCCAAAGTTCAAAATATCGATACATATCAGCCTGTATCAGCTGATAGTATCGGAAGTTTTCCGATATGCCCCTACAAAGGGTGTATCAAGGTTTTGATCGGTTCAGGGGGTGAACGGACCTCCTTAAATCAGCCCCTCCGAACCAGATTTGAAAAAAAAAACTAAAGAAAATCTACTGATACTGCCCAATACGCCTCTACCGGCGTATCGGGCATATCAATATTTTGAACCTTGGGTTTGATACGTATCGGATTTTGAACCTACTGAATGCTGTTTAGAGAGATTTAGGGAGTTTCTTTCTATTTAAACATAAAGAAATCCTCTGAAAAATTAACAAAAGAAAAAGAAAAAGAAAAAAGAAAAATGAAGTATCAAACCTTATAAACACACAATGTACAATTTTTGTGTATCGTGCGTGTCAATGTTGACTGTAATCGGATGGACTGGCAGCAAGCATTCCCTTGGACAGAATTATATATATTGAGAAATCATCACAAATCATATCATGAAGCCTGACATGTATAAGGAACAATTGCCAATATTGGTGTCACTTACAGATCTTGCCATGTAAACTCAAAAAATTGTACAAGTCTGTCTGCCGTATATGTAAGAGAAAGAAAAGGGAAAAAAATGACAAGGATCGTTGAAGAGGCTATCACTGAAGAATGCACCTCAAACGGAAGATGAAAGGTGGTAAAAAATTTGTAATTCTCCTGCATAATGCACCTCAAACAGAAGATGAAGCTATCACTGAAGAAATCATCTTGTCCATCTGCAGTAAGCTTTGCAGCACCCCCTAATTCTGAAGAAAGAATGTTGATCCTTCTTGCCTTCAAAAATTTAACACTAATAGCCCCAGCTTCATCCTAGTGGCATCTGCCACCCCCAAGTAAAAATCTCGATGATGATGATGAGGTTGCTGGTAACTGATTGCCAATTCAATGAGCTGAGCCAGAAAGAATTATGTATACTCATCTGTTTCTAATCATCAGGATCCATTTCCTCATCTTGTTCTGGAGGTGGAGATGCATCCATTCTGCTGCCACTTTCATCGGATTCTGGCTCATCCAAATCTATTTCATCTTCTGATGACTTAGTTTCATCGTTTCTGCCTTCTTGTGCACTGGAGGTCTTCAGGGAAGCCATTTCTAGACCATGCTGCATCCATTTGGGGCATTCATCTTCACCTCCATACAATAATTGGCCATCACTTCCCCTTACCGCAATTGGAATCTCAGCAGATCCTGGAGTTCTACATGAACATTCTGGAAGCGGGTGAGCAAGAAACAAAGTTGGTTTTGACAGGCGGAATTCCCTTATGAGGCCATCCTCTCCCAAGCTTTTGTTCAGATGTTCCCTCATTGCAAGCGTCCAATTACGCTTTGGATGGTATAGTTGATCATGAGTACTATTAAACAGTTCAGCAATAACTTTTCTGTTCACAAGAACAAGGAAAACAGTATTAGAAAAGACACTCGGAAAGTTATTAAAAGATCAATACTAACAATTAGAATATAATAATAAAGAAGAAAAGCTCTGATATCATTGTTACAATATTTTATAATAAAAATAAGGATAACCTATAGTTTTGTGCATTTACTAACACCTACCCCCTAGTTTGTGTTTTATTAAAACACCCCTATAGTTTGCAACCAATTTACTTATTGCTGGTTTTCTTAGATGGAAGTGGAAAATTATGTTTTTGACCAAATTAATAAAAAAAATGGAATATCGACATTGCCCCTAATAAATCACTTAATTTATGGTGAAAACAGCCCTTTCCAAATCTTCACTAACAGCCTTCTCATCAATGAAGAACCTCTTATCTGAGGATACACTCAAAATGGTGCTCTTTGATTCCTCCACAACCTCATCCCTATAAATTGGGTCAATTAGACAATGCTCTTTGATTCCTCCACACCCTCATCCCTATAAATTGCGTCAATTAGACAATGCTCTTTGATTCCTCCACACCCTTATCCCTATAAATTGCCTCAATCAAACTAAAGTCTTTCCCTCCCCCCTCTGTGCACGTATGTGTGTGTGTGTGTGATTGTGATTCCTCTGAATCTCCAGCTTATATTGCTCCTTTGTCTATCGAGCTCTGCAAATCTATAACTTTTGTTTTGTAAGATGGGGATTTTAACACTGCGCCATTTTACAAAATTTCCAAAGCCTTTTTCTCTTTAAGTTTAAATTTTCATTCTTTGTTTCCTAATCTTGGTTCTATAGATTTAGTTCCACTGATCAAGCTAACTATTAGTGTGTTGGAATTTGATATTCAGAAAAGAAATTGTAGGGCTCCTCAATCTTGAAGAAAGTGTGTTCTTCCATTCTCAATAACTGGTATTGGTATGCTTTCTGGGCACTCATTAGAACACCTTTTGAATCTGAAAACTGAAAACAATTTACTTGTTGAGAGTGTAAGGGCATTTATGTCCTTTCATGTTTTTTTTCTATTTGGGCACCTATTCAAGGGCCCATTTGTAATTTTTTTCAATATGTTAACAAAAAATATTTTAGGTTGTGAACAGTAATAAACCATAGACTCTCGACAGAACCTCTTCTTCTTCTTCTTCTTCTTTTTGATGAATGAATGGTATTTTATTAAATAGAGATAGAAATAGTACAAGCATGAAGCACCCTAAGAGGAGGCACGAGGTGTTACMTCCCCTTAAAGGTGGTTCCAAACCCAACTCTTTTCAGATTGCAGTTACAAAATAGCCAAAAACAGAGAATACCTTGAAGCCCCTTGTTTAGCTAAAGAATCTGCCAAAGCATTTGCCGATCTATTAACCCACTGAAAGCTAACTGACATGGTTCTCGTAAGCCATTTGACTTTTTTGATGATGTCCCTATATCCCCAAACAACAGTTTCTGGGTCCGACATCCATCCCACTATCACCTTAGAGTCTCCTTCAACTATCAAATTAGTCACTCCAAGTTGGTTGGAAATCTGTAGTCCTTGTACCACTAATAATATCTCAGCCCTTGTAGAGTCTCAATAACCCATTGGACCTGAGAATAAGGATAGAATGTTGCCATCCTTATTCCTCAAGATCCCTCCTATACCCGAAGGTCCTGGATTGCCTTGACTGCTCCCATCAAAGTTCAACTTTACAACTCCTTCTAGAGGGGGTAACCAACTTGCTTGTGTTCTATTTTTCTTGGATGATGTGGAGGCCACTGCTGCCCAACTCCTTCGAAGGTCATCACTAGGGTAATCCGCAAAGAGATCAGTAGTTTTTAGCCAAAGGATTTCCCTTCTCAATATACAATCCCTTTATTTCAGCAATGCTTCTCTCCTCCTGGAAAATTCTGGCATTTCTTTCCTCCCAAATGGTCCATAAGAGGGCTGCCCTAATACATTTCCACATTACTTTCCCT